TCCGGCCTCTAAAGCAGAGCTGCAGAATCTCAAAGCTGTGTTCTCAGTCTGGTCCTCTGGGGTAACCAAGCCCATTCTCCAGCTCTAGCTGCTTTCTCCAGCCATCACACCTTTGGTGTTTTCCTGGCCCATGTGCAGTCCCCCTGCCACCCCAGTTCTGAAAGGATGGCCTATCTCCCCAAAAGCTTTGTTTAGGACAGGAAGAGCATTAAATTAAAATAGGCCGGCCTTTTGCTCCCACCCTTTTGCTTTTGCCCCTGTCCCCATGTGGCTCCAAAGAGCTTCTCTGAAATGGAAAGTTGCCCTGGTTCTTTTTTGTTTGTTTGTTTTTTGTTTGTTCAGTTGCAAAGTCCTGCCCGACTCTTCACAACCCCATGGACAGCATTCTTCCAGGTTTTCCTGTCCCCCACCCTCCCCCAGGGTGCACCCAAGCCCACACCCACCTCTCCAGTGACCCCATCCAGCCACCCCAACCTCTGCTGCCCCCTTCTCCTTTTGCCTTGAATCATTCCCAGAATCAGGGTCTTCTCCAGGGAGTCCTTCCTCCTCATTAGGTGGCCAAAGTATTTGAGCTTCAGCTTTGGCACCTGACCTTCTAAAGATCAGTCAGGGTTGATCTCCTTTAGGATCGACTGCCCTGGTTCTTACCAATCCTATCCCCAAGAAGACCCCCTCCAGTAATCTTGCCCAGATGCCAGGGCCCCAGTTCTCCGGCAGGGCCCACCTCTGATGCATGCAGCGTAAGCTCCTTTAAATAATTCTGGTGCGCTGCTCTAGCTGGCTTTTAAATCACTGCTTAGGATGAGCTTGCAGGCTCAGTCTCCAGCCGTTCCTTTGAGAGTCTTCCCCAAACAGGCACCCTCCAGATACTTTAGAAACTGCAACTTTCATCAGGCTTGTTATGGTGTGCATGGGTTCCTGAAGGCCCAGAAGAAAATGGAGAATCAAGGAGCATGATGGGACTGACCAGGACTGAGGTATTTTGCACAGCAAAACCAAAAGCCGGAAGTGGTTGGAGAATGGAAGTAATAGCCTGCCCTGTAGCATCCAGGTGTAATAGCTGTAATATCCAGGTGTAATATCCAGGTGTAATATCCAGTAATAGCCTGCCCTGTAGCATGTAGAAGATAAGCCTGCCCTGTAGCATCCAGAGAGAGAATGGAATGTGGTGAACACTTTTCTCCAAGATAAGGGAAGACCAGTACATCCTACCTCTGTTTTTGCCCAGATGAGCTCACTTTTCGGACCATTTTGGGCTAGCTGAAGTACACAATGCCTGAGCTCTCCAGCTCCGGTGTGTGCTAGGACAGTGCTGGAACGGGTCACCCACAGCCCTTGCCACCACTTGGTCACCACTGGAGAAGGGTCTATTGGTTGGGTGCGAGTATTCAGCGAATGCGAGTGTGAAGGAGGCCTCTTTTGATATTGCTGCTGATGACGGTTAAACTCGTATTCCTATACTTTTATATTCGTTATATCATAGAATAAATGTTACATGCATCATGTTTAAAACCAGATCTGGCGTTCAGTCTCTCTTCGATAAGGATTTTTCCTGGGAAACCTAATAGTCTCCTCTTTACTGGATCAAGGACCATTTTGTTTCGGTCACAGGCTCAGGTAGCAGGAGCAATCAGGGATGACTGAGGTTGCAGACCACAGCCACTGGAGGGCACCCCTCGGCCAGCCCTGATTTAAAAAAATAATCTGAGCATGTGCGGTTTTAAACCAAAACATTTTCTTCACTCGAGCAATAACATGGGAGTTGCTTCTACTACTCTGATGCAAAGCAGAGTTTCTTGAGAATAAGCTCCATTTTATTGTAGAAAAGGATAATATATTTTAAATAATAGCAATGTTAGCACCCCTGTTGGCTGCCTCTGAAATCTAAAATATTTCTTAAAATAAGAAGGAAGGATGCTGTGATGAAGGGATAGTATGCCAGAACCACTGATGCTGCCGTGCTGACCCAGGACCTGTTTGCCGTAGAATCCTTCACCACTGCCATTCTCCGGATAGTCACCTAGGAGAGGATGAGCCCCAGGGGCCCTGGACCGCAGCCCAGAGACTCAGCCCTTGCTGCACCCCTGGTTCTGAGGCTGGAAGAGCCAAATGGCAGCTTGGCCCTGCTAGGCCAAGGGAGGAGTGGAGCTCCCATCTCAAACACTCCCTCACCATCAGGCAGATGCTTTGAGGAAGCCAGTTCTGGAAGAGGAGAGGAATTAAATGCCTGCTGTTCCCAGACAGGAAGATGGAGAAGGCTTAGCTGATTCCCAGGTGAAATGGCTGCCAGTGGAAACAGTCCTGGGAAACAGAGCTGGCCCACGATGTTTCGGTGCCTGAAGAAAAGGAAAAGAGGTGTCCTTTTCTTCAACCCCACTTCTACATTCGGAGAGCTGATTTTTCAGTTCAGTTCTAGGGATAGGAAGCTGCCCAACAGCACACCTAATAGAAGCAGATTAGCTCCAAGGAGCTGGGACAAGCCATGCAGGGCACACAGGCTGGGGGCGGGGAGTGGGGGGCTGCAGGATCAATAGGTGAGGGGCTGCCCCTGCTGCAGCCCCAGCACCTGCCTTCTGAGGTCATTGCTTCACTCTGCCTAATAGGAGGGCCAGCCCTGCTTGGAGAGGAGGAGCCAAACAGCCATCAACCCAACCAAACTAGTGGATTGGGCCTTGCCATCTCCCCTCTCCCTCTCTTGCAGCCCCGTCACAGACCCTGGAGAAGACTGGAGAAGGAGCTGCTCCCATCCAGACCAACGCAGTAGACTTTTCTGCTTTACCGCTTCCTCGGCTGCAGTCAGGAGGCATGGCTGCTGAGGGAGAGATCTTGAAAACAAGGTGGCAAATGGCAGAGCGTGCCAGCCAGGCCGATGCAGCAGGCCCCTGGCTGCCCCCCGCTCCCTCTTTTGTAGTGAGGTGGAATTGCTGCTGAAATTGCTGGCTCCCACACCCATGGTACTCCCTGCCAATGCGCTGGGTCTGGAGACAAATTCTGAGGGCCACTTGCATCGCCCCAGTTTCTGTTCGTCGCATACATCCTCCCTCAAGAGTTGGGGCAACCCAGACTGTACTTTTCCCAGCGCTTCACAGAACAGCCCAACTCCCTGCTCTGATCTCAGCTACCTCAACTGTGGCTTGTTGACGTGTTCCTCCTAATGAACCCAACATTAATGAGGCCCAGGGAGAAGTGAGACCACCCAGCAGCCCATTCTCCATTGACAACCAGGCGATGAATCAGCTCGTGGCGTGGTTGCTGTTTGCATTAGTGGCAGCGTTGACGGAGACCTTTCAAGAGGGGTTGAGGGAAATCCAATAGAGATGGCTGGATAATGAGAAACAAGAAGAAAGCAAGCAATCTAATTTCCCTGGCTTGTTAACACTCACATCATCTTCTCTCCACACACACACACAAACTTTTGAAAAAATCTATTGCTTATGTTTGACTTTCATGATCATGTTCCTGTCTCTACCTTTTCTTCTGTTGTTCTTTTATGTTTCCTGCTATTTCTCTCTGCATGGTTCCCTCTTCCTCATCAACAACTTCCTCATCAACAACTCCTAGTCCAAAACAGGCCTCTGGTGCTTTCTTAGTGTATTTGTGTGTTTCATTTTTGTCCCTTCAGCTTCAGGTGCAATCAAACCCATTTCTCCCTTTGAATTTAATGGTGCATTGATTATTACAGGTACATTCCTCCTTTTTTCCTCTTGTAAGGAACCCAGCATGGTTTACATAGTGGTCTTTCTTTACATTTTATCATCACAACAGGCTTGGCTCAGAGTCCTTGACTGGCCCCACCCCATAAGCTTCATGGCAAGGTGGAGACTGAAAGCGCAACCTCCCGGGTGCCATTCAGCCCGGCTCTCACTGTGCCACACCAGCTGGCTGTGTGCTTTTCATTCCTTGCAGTTTTGCCATCACACCTTTGGGGAGGTTCTCCCTACAGCCATGAGGCCTAGTGACTTTTCAGCTCTCAGCTTCATTTATAGTGGGAGACAAGACAAGTGGACCTGCAGCAAAATACCCCAAGTTGGAGTTCTCCTTCTCAGTGTTATCAGCTGTGTGTTCTTTCACAATGTTCAGTTCCCCCTTGCCTGGTTTCCATGTCCCCATTCCTGGCATAAGTCAGCCAGAGCTGCATCCCCCAGGGGGCCTGCAGGCACCATCACACACACGGGCACCTCCCATGGCACCCACAAAGAACTTAATTGCAGGCACCTGAAGAACTTAATTGCTTTTATTTGTTCAATTCATTAATACTCATGCATGGATTTGTAGGAAATGCAAACAACCATCTAGGCTACAGCAAAAGCAGACCAAATATCCAAATAAGTATTCATTTGAAATTGATGTTTATAAGCTACTTGTTCCTATATTGAAAGCATTGTAAGGTCATCAGTCCTTTGCATTATACGAATTGTATTTATCAGACTTTTGGCTGTCAAAAGGACACAGAGAATTCTTCAGTGCACACTCTGTGTGTGTGTTTAAGTAGAAGAGTCACATGTGGATGAAGAGGGCACCAACTCACATAACTTTTGTTAAAATTTACTTTTCTGGATGCACCCTTAGAAACAACTATTGTTTAAATAGAAATACAAGACATCTCACCAGAGTGAGGAAGCCTGACCAGGTGACCTGTTTGGCCACTCAGTGAGCTGCCCAGGTGTGAGCACCTGAAGGGCAACCTCAAGGCTTACTACTACTAGTACTACTACTACTGACAACTAAGCCTTGGGAGAAGCTGGCTTTGGAATGGGAAAAAGAGTGGTGGGAAAGGCGGCTGGGCCAGGCAACAAAGGGGACCTGGCCTTCTGAAGAACCCCGAAAGGCCAGGCTGAGGCCTGAAGCAGCCTGGACTGGGAATGAACTGGGGGTTCTGCACCCCTGGCTGTGGATAGTTGGGCCAGGGGCACAGGAATGGGGGGCCGGAGCAAATCGCGGCATAGCAGAGTATCGGAATAGAAGAGCTTTCTGAGTCTGAGCAGAGCGGTGGGGAGGGGTTTCTGGCACTCGCAAGCAGCCCTGAGGGAGGCGGATCGCAGGTCACTGCTGCTGCATGGATTCTTCCGGGAGACGAAGGGGCAGGCGTGAGGTAGCTCTCTGATCTGTCGAATAAAGCCAGAGAAAGATTTTGAGCAGTTTCCTATCCCAACAAGTTCCTCCTCCTTGATACGATGCTTTTGCAAAGAGGACACTCCCCGGGATACGTGAGTGCGGGATGCAGCCTGGGATTTATCCCTCCAGTTCCTTCTTTGTAATAATTGTAATAAGAATAGTTGTTAGTAGTCGCATGATTAAATTTCTTAGATGCCTTTCTAGAAGAAAAGAATCGAGGTGACTTATCATAGCATTCGAACATATTTGACAATTTGACTGACACATTAGACAGTTTTTCACTTGCCAACAAATCCCTGAGAATGGAGGAAAGTCTTAAACTGGTACTGAAGAGATCACCATGTGGCCACAGGATAGATCTCATGGGGGATGGTATTCCATAATCAAAAGCTACCACTGAGAAGGCCCTCGCTGACAGCAATCCTCCAAACTCTTTCCGATAAGGCACTTGCAATCCTCACAGTGTAATAAGTGTTATTAGAAAAAGAATGGTTATGATTAGAAAGAATCAGGACTTACATGGGCAAACAGTGTTGAAGTTCCCAGTCCCCAGTCATTTGAACCCAAGCTCCATCAGTAAACCTAGCAGAGACTTAAAATGTTTATTCCCTGGCACCCCACAAATAAACTTTGGAATAGCATGATCTGGGGACTAATCCTTCAAGTCACAAACAATAATTATCCCCGGATCCCAATAAATTCATCTGAGAAACCCAGAGTCCAGTATGTCTGGACAGCATCAAGTTAGGAAAGACCGGTCTAGAGCAGGGGTTGGCACAAAGTCGATTTCCAGATATTTTGGACTTCAGCTCCCAGAAGTCCCTGCCAGCATAACCAATGGTCAGGAATACTGGGAGCTGAAGTCCAAAACATCTGGAAATTGACTTTGAGCCCATCCTTGACCCAGAACATAGGAGTTGGTCTTATACTGAGTTTACCATTGGTCTACACCAGAGAGCACCTCCCCTGGACTTCAGATATAGGTTTTGTCCAGCCCTACTCAGAGATAATTTGAGAATTTCCTACAGCCTGTCTTCATTGAGAAGTCCAGGTTTCCCATCCTATTCTGCCCAAATAAACACATGCACATACCATTCTCCTCCCAGAGTAGCTGGAGTCTGTCCTCACCTTGGAGGTTCAAGTAGGAAAGGAAATCCATCAGGATTTGCAGGATGTGGTCGTCTGCACGCTGGGCCGCATGCACTGAGAGAGAGGAAATGGAGTTGAAGGGAAAGGGTGACGAAATGGAGAATACAAGAAAGGGCAGAGGAGCCAGCTCAGGTGTGCTCACCTAAGGAATCCGGCCCGAGAGAATACAAGTCCTGCATAGCATCTCGTTTACCAGCCAAGCCTCCTCTGTTGGGCAGTGTCTGCTGGGCATCTGCTTTGGGGAGATGAGAGTGGAAAGGAAGAAGTGCTGCAGGTTACATAAAAACGAAATAGATAGATAGAACCATGCTTATCAGCATACAAGGACGATAATTGCTGTATCTCCTTTAGGTTTCCCGAGTTCTTCCTTTCTTGTTCATCTGCTACATAACCTCTAGGTGGAGCTGTGCTATCAAACACACAAGGAGAAACAGCACCATTGCACCCATTCTAAAATAACGCCCTATTTTTCCCATTCTAAAAAAAAAAAAAAAGGCGAGGAAAGTGCCCTGAAAAGGCAGAAATGAAACTGGAGGATTGTGACAAGGAATCAAGTAGAGAACCATTCTTGGTAAAGTAGAACACTTGGTCACCCAGACTTCTGGCAGTAAAGCATAATTATAGGGACTTGCTCTCAGGTAAGCGCAAATGGCAGTGCAACCATACAGATGATCTTAGCCCTTCCCGGATGGTTTGGTCACACCCTTCTCATGACAACCAAATTCTGAATTGACTTACGGGGTCCCAGCAGATAGCCGGCACTGTTGAGGGTCCATCCACGTTTGTCCTTGGGCTGCAGAAACAAGAAGAGGAAAGGTTACCTAGTCATGTCATCACCTAACTTGTTCCACAAAGATACTCCTATGAAAGAAAGAGGTGTGTGTGTAAAGAGTGAGGGTTGTCTATTTTAATTTCCCAATCCCCCTAACATGGCATTGTTCCCAGGCACTGTGGGAACCGAAAATGGCAGCTCCCAGCAGGAGGCTGGGAACTTGAATTGCCCACAATGCCCTGAAACACCTGTGGCCATGGAGCTGTCTATGCATACAAACCCACTGCTGCCCCCCTCCCTTCCCCCAAAGGTAAGGCTAAATCAATGCACATTTACAAGGCACTTTCCCCCAAGTGCTCAAACTTACACTACCTCAATAAACCTTAGGACAAGCCTAAGATATAGGCTGGCATTATTATTATTTCCCCTGTTAGCAGTTGAGGAGATGGATGCTGAGATTAAGCAATCTCACTGCCTGACTGAAGACTGCCCAGGAAGAGTGTGTGTTAAATGTAATCTGAAGCTGAGGAAGCGGGGAAGAACAAGCAGGAGATTCAGCTCCTATTTAATGCCCCAACCCATCAGATTGCTAGCTCTCAAAAGCAGGAGCCAGGGGCAGAAATTCTAGGGGACAAATGGGTGGGTTTTTCTGCCAACCGCAAAATGAAAGCAAACAAGATCTGCCTTGGTCTCACATCAAGGAAGTGATAAGAAGAAACTCTTCCTGAGAGAAAGAAGAGGCATTGTGCTACTCTAGCAGGGAAACGGTTTTCCATAGTCTGAGCAAAGATGGAAGAACCACAGGGGGGAATGTAGAATGGCAGGGATTGGGGTGCTGTGTGGATGCCCCATAAAAAATGAGTGAACAAAACAAGACAAATATATATCGAACACCTAGTATGGGAGCACCTGGAGAAATCCAAGATCTACGGAGCCATTCTGCACAGCTCCAGAAAATCACTCACAGCCCTCCAGTTATTTTGACCCTCAGCACCCTTACCCCGCACTACTAGCTATTTGGAGGGATGCAGCATAAATATCAGGACAAATATCAGGGTGGAAAGATCAAAAGGCAAGACTGGTCATGCTTCTAGTCATTATTGTGAAATCAACCTGCCTTGCTAATGAAATTTAATGGAGTGGGGAGAGATCTGGATGACAACATCTTCCACTTGTAACCTTCCCACATTTCTCCCCACTTCCTCTGTCTTTTTTACTGCCAGAAAAAAAAATCAGCTATAGTGGAAATTACAGACTAGCTTCTAGAGGGATTTCCAGGAACTATGTTTGATGGGATGGGTTCAGGGCTTTGATATAACTCACCACAAGAGCGATTCCAAAGCATTCTCCAAATGCCCCATACAAGAGCAAAGTCAGACAGAACAGGGATCGAGAGCACCACATCTGCACGAGAGAAAGAACAAAAGCCAAGGAAGCGTTTTATTTTCCAACCTCATTTTATTCCTGCTAAATCACATCCCCACTGCCATCTCTGCTCAAGCAGGCTTTTGAAGCAGGAAGGAAGGAATCCCACAGCCTCCTTGCAGGTAGGACAGGTTGGAGTCCAGACTCCACCCTCAGAAATGCTGCCTGGGGTCAGAGCTGAGACCCCGACTTTGGATGGTCCCCCCTCACAGCCAGCACAGATCTTTCCATGCCAGCTGGGCTCCGGAGTGGAAAACGCTATTGAGAGCTAGCATGAGGGAGAGGCATTGCTGCAGGTGGAGAAGGGAGGCATGAAGCAGTGCCGTCTTTCAAGGAAAACTGGCCGTGCGTCCACCTCTCCTCCTAGTGAGGACGGGACAACATGGCTGTGGCAGTCCTCTTCCAGCTTCTCCTCTTGCCTTCCATTGGATGCCCACAAGTCTGGCATGCTGGGCAGCCAGCTTGTATGGTGCCCTTAGCAGCCTGCAAACCATTTTGATCGCAGCCCATAATGCGAAAAGTGAAAGCCCCAAAGGCGGCAGGCTGGTAAATCTGCATCTTTAACATCTGAGAAGAGCAATGAAGAGTTTTTGCATAAAGACAACACAGGCATTTGCAGAAAAGCTTTTGTGGACACTGTAGCCAGAATAAACTTACCTGTCTGTAAGATGCCGCAAGATTCTTTGCTGTTTCTGTTGCAAGGAACTAAGCTGGCAGCCCTAATCCTGTTAGATAGAGGGAAAGGCCATCAACTCCCAGCATGAGCCAGCCAGCTTGAGCTGCACCCAGTTTGTTATTCACTGAGCTTCAGGCAGGGCCATATCTAAGTATTTTGGATAACCTCCCCCCACCCCCCTGCAAGGCTATGGCTATTAGTTCCCGAAAAGCCTAAAGTGTATTTGGGCATGTGGAGGAGCCCCAAGTTTCCTGGGGAACCAATCAACCCAGCCCGTTTTAGGGAGACAGGGCAGGTCTCTCACTACTCCATCCGCTCTGCATCCCCAAAGTCAGCAAGCTGGCTGGCTCGCCTTGGTGCCTCTAGCACTAGGGAACTTAATGCCATTTAAATCTGCACTCAGCAGTGGTCTGGACTGGCCCCTGGGGCCCTTTCCCTTACTGTGCCCAAACCTTGCCCAGCCCTTCGCCTGGCGTTGTTTCATGGCCTGAACCTCTTTGTGTGCTGGGCCTGTTTTGTTCCCCCTAGGAGCACCCTGAGAGCCTCGCACTCCTGCCCCACCCTATTTGAAGGCTACCAGATACAAAATGCCTCCACAATGCCTATCCACCTGAAATATTGTACAGGCTTGCCACATTTCCCCCCGACTGTGCTCCCGCAACTTTTCTCAGCTGCTCTATGGACAGATATTCGAGAAGCAAAGCCTTCCCGTCACTGCATTAAGTCACAAAAAGCTGTGCCTGTTGAATGCCTACCAGGCCAGCCCAGAAAAAAGAAAACCCACATGGCAATCCTGCTGTACCCATATTCTTACCTTTTAACAGTCTGTAAATTCTGTAAGTCTGTAAAGGCTTCGACGAATGGGGCGGCATAGAAATTTTCTAAATAAAATAAATAAAAAATAAAATAAAATAAATCAATTTCCTAATCACCAACAATCAAACAGTGACCCTAACCCAAACCCCCCTCATAGATTTGAGGAACCTGTACCTTGAAATCTGTCTTGAGTTTCTGGGTCTCTTGATCCCAGAGATAGGGGAAGACCTAGGATTTATAGAGGAAGGGAGCTCGGATTGGGGCACGTCATTACTCCACAGACAAAAGATTGCAGGGTTGTGTGCATAATTGTCTGTAATGGTCCCTTGAGTCCCCACTGGATGTGGGGGGTGAGTTGCTCCACTCTCTTTTAATGCAGAACCTATTTGTATTCTTTGTCAGAAAATGGGTGGAAAATTAGGGGTAATTAGCTCTAATTGACTCCTCAAAGTGGAGGAAGGTAACTGGAAGTAGTAGATACATTCCATGTTGACTTACTAATTTTGAAAAAAGGAAAACTAAGAGTTCCGTTTCCAGATCCTCCCTCTTTAACTAAGAACCCACTGGTTATCTGGCTGCATCAAATGTCAGACCCACCTTCCCCAACCTGGTGCTCTCCAAATATTTTGGCCATACGGGCTGGGGCTGATGGGGGCTCTAGTCTAAACCATCTGCAAGGCACCATGTTATGGATGAAACACACAACAGCACACACATACGCATGCACAAACATATCGCTGTGGGTAAATGTTCCCAGAGATCACAAATGCACAGAGCTTCCCATACAAAATGCACTTTAGGATGGACTTGCCAATTCAATTGCGCTGCTCCTCCAGTCTCTGGTTCGCATTTCTCCAACATGGCTCTGCCTTTGTGATTCATGGTCCAAGTTCAGGGACAGGTAGGAGGCATATCTAGAGCTACCGGTGGATGATGGAAGTCTGGGTCAATTCATTTAACAACAGTGACAACAAAACGACTACTCTCCTCTCCCGGTTCTAAATTACGCTGCGGAAAAGAAGAAAGTTGAATGGAATCAGGTGAGGAATTTTGGTGTGTGGGAGGACTGTAAACTTCATTCAGTTTTGGTATTCAGAACCATTTCCAGGGCTCCTGGCATTTCTGCATGTGCATGTTTTGCATTGAGCTACGACTACTGAATCTTAAGGCTGTTCTGCAAAAAGCAAAGTGGATCAGCCAAGGAAGATGGTTTATCCAGAGTCTCTCTCTCTTTCCCTCTCTCTCTCTCTCACACACACAGGCCTTGGTCCATCTAGTCCATTATTGCTGGCACTGACTGACAGCAGCACTCCGGAGTTCAGGAATATTTTCGAACCCAGGATCTTCTGCAAGCAAAGCACGTGCTCTGCCACTAAGTTACAAACCTCACGAATCTGAAGTCTTGCCCACCCTGCCTTAAAGGATAAAGAGCCGCTAACATTTCACATCATTCTGCTTAGGACGTAGTGTCAGATTACATAGATAGATCTAGGTGACCTGAGCTATAGAAAACTAAGGACTTTTCTACATGAGGTCTTTATCATGCAGTCATCATTCCCAAATCACAGTTACTTACACTTTCTTCTGATGTTACTATAACCCTCCAATTTCACTTCTGTGTCTAACCAGCACTTTTGGCAACTTTTTTTAGAACAGGAAGAATGTGGCATTTAATAGGGAGTGCAAAAGAAACGGTTTTTGACCAGTTTTACAAATGCAGAAAAGGGTAAAGTGATCAAGGGGCTGGAAGAGCTTCCCTTTGAAGAAAGGTTATAACTTCTGGGAGTGTTCAGCTTTGAGAAGAGGGGAAGGGAGACAAGACAGAAGTGTACAAAATGATGTATGGCATAGAGACATTTTTCCTTCCTTTCACACCATACTTGAACCTGGGATAATCCCATGACTGGTGTGAGATAAAGGGAAAACAGTGCAAGGTTAGAATCTGATCAGAAGACCATAGCTGGAAAGCTTTTGCTGTGAGATTCCTTCAACAGAACAGCCTTGCTGATTTAGTTTCCCATGCCACGATGACAGCCTGCTAGCCTGAGATCCTGTCTGTTGATTGTCATCTGCCAATTAAAAATTCAATGAAAGTTGTAAATTTGTTCAGAAGCAAACAAATGTTTGAAACTGAGCAGTGCACACGACTTCAAAACAGTTGAGTTCCATAAAGGAAAACAGACCCTGTTTTCTAGCCACCAGTCAGTTTCTGTATAACCTAAAAGCCTGTTTAATCTGGGAAGTTAAGCAGGGGCAAACTTAGTTAGAATCTGGATGGGTGACTTGGGTGTATGATTCTATGATTATTGATGTCAACTACCCAGAGAGCTTTGGTCATGGGTGATATAGAAATGTTGGGAATATTTGGTCCTCTACATTGTAGTCTTGCAATTCCCACCAGTCCAAAGTAGCATAGTCAATGGCCAGGGATGATGGAAGTTGCAGAATCTTTTTGGTTTTGTGTTTTAAACTCACACTAAAAAAATAATTTTTACAGAGGACTTTACTTCCATATACCTGATGAAAATCTGGCAATAGAGAAAGGAAGATGGGAGACCAAGATCAGCACAGCTCCACTTCTTTAAAGTTTCTTTTAGTAGAATGGAACCCATGAAGCTCACTCCTGCTTTTCACAAAGCTCTTCCATTGAATGGTAATTGGCATCCTGGCCTTTCATCTTCACTCCTTGGTTTTAAGTGCCTGCATGGAGACCCTGCATGCTAGCAGCACAATTAGAGCCCCCGTGTGACTCCAGGCCGGAACCACTAAGGCCTTTGAAAGCCTTCTGAAGGGCTTTTGAGAAGGAAAAAGGCAGCCTGGATTCATGATTCCTGCTTGCAGTGGTATGTTAACCCAATGTCTGGACTGGCTCGCTGGAAGCTAATAGGCCCTTCTAACTCTTCTTCAAATGTGCCAAAAGCCTTTTTGTTCGTCTACTGCTACTTGCTCATTGTAATAGTTTATGAAGGGGCTGTCATGCAGCACTCCTGGGTCCTACTTTCATGAAGACTTTTCTGTGATGGCATGGTATAGAAAAGTTTTAAATAAAATAAATTAATTAATAATGGAGGGTGGTGATTTGGGAAGAGCGCAGAAAAGGGTTGCCAGTCAGCCAGAATGCCGTCTCCTTGGTCGCAGAGAATGGAAAGATGTGCAGTGAGCAGACGGGCAGAGATTCAGCGAAACCATCCCTGCCTTTACGGTTACATGCACGTGCTATGAATACATATAACTGTATTGCAAAGACAAAAAGACACGATATAAATATAGATAGTTGTTATTATGTTACATCTATACCTTACCTTTAGAAATCCAAGGCAGTTTACAAGTTGTATTATTGTTTGCTGATAGACAACAAGAACATTGTTGACAAAGTCTTACAATTTGTGTCAGTTGCAGTATGGTTTACATTGTAAAATGCCCATGTAGTTTATGTTGGAATGGTCCCACCTTGATCGAAGGCAAGAACTAGAGAACATTACAAGAATCTAAAACAAACAAACAAACAAACAAAGACAAGATGAACCTTAAGTGAAATTATTTTACAATATGGGAACAAAGCAGAGAACACTGGGTTTGAAGTTATAAAACAAGTCGCTTCAATGAAGGTGAAGGAAGTTTTCATTAAAGAATGAGGCTATAAGGATTCTGAATCTGGTTACTGCAATTCCAAGGTTTAAATTATAGAATTTATTCTATATTTTTTGAGTTTGATTATTATTACATTGCATTTATATCCTGTTTATATATTCTGTGGAACTCAGCTAATTCTAACTGATACCTAGTTATTCCACCCTTTCGGGATTTTGGGATATGGTGCACTAGAATTCTGGGAGTATATTATATTTTGATTCTTTTTAATTTAAAAAAAATTTGGGGACTTTATTACATGAAAGTAATGTGATAACATGGTCATTTTTAGAAAATCCAACTGTCTTTTTAACAACTGAGATTGAAATATGCAACTCACTTAGTAGGAACAGCAGGCTAAAAACAAAAAACAAAACCTTTACGTGGACCTTTTTGGAATCTTGTTGTATTTAGTGTTCTATGCATAAGTAAAAGCCAGACATTCTAAGCACTGTTTGAATGCTAAAAAGAAGTAACTGAATTGTTTTGTAGTGTTTGAAATGTTTGGTGTCTGAAATTGTAAAAGTAATGCTTTATAAGTTGTAATACATTTGTAAATTGTTACTTTTAAGATATATACATTAGTTTTTATGCATTCTCTTTGTTATCCTTTTCAGTTGTCTTTGATAAAAGGCATTCTTGAAGTGTGTTTGGAACTATAGACACTGCTGTAACTGTTTTCATTTCTTGATCTGGCTTTCACAGTTGTTTTAGCAGTTTATTCTTGGTAGAATGAAAGCATCATGCTGGTGTGCATAGAGGCTTTTTATGTGTGAGCGACCATTGTGTAAGAGGTGGCTGGTGCCATTTGGCTGGGCATGTTTGGTGACCCAGTATCAAATTGTGAGTCACCTGTCAGAGTCCAGAGCTGCATCTCTCCGGCAGGACTGGGGAACCTGTGATGCTTCTGATGTTCTTAGACCAGTTCCCACCAGTGGCAGCCAACCTAGCCAAAGGTCAGGGATAGCGGGAGTTGTAACTGTTCCAGCCAATACGGTATCTATGAATTCTCTATTGCCATGGAAAGCCACAGTGCAGTCTGGCAGTCTTGGGATCAGTCAGCAAGCATCTACCTCCCAAAGGAATGACAGCCTGCTCTTTCCCTTTCATTTCTTTCCAATCAAACAAATGAAAACTTTTTCCTGGGCAACATAAGGAAAACTTTGGACACGTGCATTTCTAATCAGGTCCTTCGCCTGAAAGCAAGCTGTGTTAAAACCTTGCCATGGGGTTCCTTGAGAGATGGGAAAATATGCATGAATTGCACCGACTTCAGTGAGGCAAATCAAGAGCTGAACAGGTGTGGTTTAGCATGTAAGAGCTGCCTTTCTGGGGCTTCTACACACGTTCTGCCTTCAACATGGCATCCCAGAGAAGCTGCCTTTGGGAGTTTAGTCATACCAGAGGTGCTGGTTTGCTCCCCCCTCGCCCCCCGCCAGCATCTGGTGCTGAAGTGCAGCCTTCCTCAACCTGACACCCTCCAAAGTTATTCATCTACAATTGCCAGCATCCCCCAGTCGACTACTGGTTAGGCTACAATTCCCAGAATCCTGGATAGGGGATTTGGGGAGTTGTAGTTCAACACATCTGAGGGGAGCATGAGGCTGGGGAAGGTTGCATGGGACGTTCCAATAACCATTACAGTTACGCTCGCTTCATTAAGTTGATTTATGGCACTCGCTCTCCAGTGGACACACATGAGCTGTGAAGTTGCCCGAATCAACGGAGAAGAGAAAGAGGCTCTGGCCCTTTAAACCCCTCCCGGGCCACCTTCGGCGGACACTCTTTCCGTCCCGTCGCTGCTCCCCGCCCTAGTCCTCCTGAGCTCTAGCAGCTTCTCTACCTTGCCCATTTCTCTCGTCTCTATGGCGCCAGCAGCTCCCGATTGGTCAATCCGGGGCGGTGCCGCGTCCCTGTTGGTCGGACCGTGCGCTGGGCGGGGCGTAAAGGGGAGCTGTCAAGACGGCCGAGGGAGGGATTTTCCGCTGCCGGCCCTGGGCCCGGGCCTTGGAAGAGGAGAGCTGGAGCTGCCGCTGGCTCCCCCCGCCCTCCAATGGAGGGGTGCATGAGACCCTGAGCCTCGCTTCCCCTGCCCGTGGGGCGGGTGAGTGCCGGCGAGCGAGCGGGCGGGCAGGTTGCATCGGGCTGGCAGCCCTCTTGAGCGGGGTTGCCTTGAGGGGTGGGACGCTCGGAAGGTTAAAGTTTGGAGGGAGGTGGCACCGGGAGTTAAATTCGGTTGCGTGCCGGTGGATGAGCTTGCATTCGTTTCCAAGTCCTGGAGGGGTACAGCCATTGCAGTATGGCATGAGGGCGGGGCGACAGTTTTGGTAAAACCAGCGCATAAACACAGCAAGGTGTGAATGCCTGGTGTGATGTGCTTGCGCAGCCGGGGTAGGGCTCCTGGAGGACCGATGTATGGGTGATGAGGCTGTGAAGAAGGTTGGAATGTGCGGAAGAGATGTTGCAATACAGAGCGAGGTAGCCTGGGACTCCACCCATCATCCCTGGGTCGTCTTTTCTCCACAGCATTCTTCTTTGCCTCTGGCTTCTGTGCCCAAGTTCCCCCGCCCCCTGTCCATTGATTGTGCCCATGTTTTACTTCCTTGTAGCTTTCATGCTCTTTCACGAATTCACCCCCACTCATGCCCAGGTGAATTACATTAGATCAGGAAGACTTAGTAAGCAAGTGGAGGCGTTGTCACTTGCATGGATCATTCATTCATTCATTCATTGAGTTGGGTTTGCTTTCTGTTGTGGATCAGCAAACATACCAGGGATAATACAGGTGGAAGGGCATGTACTAAATTGGGGAATGGCGGGTTGGAGCAAGAATTGAATCTTAGTATCTAGGCCTGTGGTCAGATAGTAGTTTCCATTATGGCTGATAGGCTTAACTGGAATGAACAGGTGTACATCACAACATTTGAGCTGCACTTTAGCTGGGTTGTGTCAGTTCTTGCAATTGTTGGAAATGCTGTTAGAAGTAGCAGCCATCACCAGAGTTTGGCACAGACCCCTTATGGCTTGTTGCTTTTGTTAGGTGTTCATCTTGTGTACTAATGTGACACACCTGGGCTTGTTAAGCTGTTGTCCCAAACATGTTCTGGTGAGCAATTGGAACTTAAAATTTTCAAATCACACCTCACCTCCATCCGCCTTCACTACCTATGGTCCATCATTGTTAATACATTCTTCCCATAATTCTTTATAAACCTATGGTACAATTCTTTAGTTCCAATACAAAAGTCTAACTCTAAATTCACATAAGAAAATGAATGCATTTTATCTACATCCATTTATATTCCTTTTCTTTACGTCTTAAGTTCCTTGTGGCAGAGATCTGTTTTTCTTGTACATCATTAAGTACCATACTCCATAAGGAACTGTATAAACAATAACCGACCTATCAGGTTATGTCCTGACATTTCCCACAGTATGGCTGCTTTCTCCAAAATGTTCTGCTAGGTGGCTATTATTTTTAAAATCAAAACCTGACATTAATAAAATTGTCTGACATCTGAAATCCTGCTGTCTGGGCCTTTTCTAAGCCCAGTATGAGGAGGAACCAATGAATACCAGTCCATACTTCATGGAGAAGAATCGGGAATCCTGCTTTAGTTTTTGTTTTGGAGTTAGCTTCCAACCCAAAGTTTGGCTTTTGCAAAAGATCTAAGGTTTCCTGTATAGGAGATAGATGTAGTAATCTGCTAAGTTGGCTAGCAGCAAATATTTAGGAAGACCTGACAAAAAAGTGATCTAAGCTCACATGAATTGATGGTGAGAATTCTTCTGCTATGTTGATCTGTTTCATCTTCTTTTGCTTAGCCTGCCCTGGAACCCAGCAGATATGACAGAATACAAACTGGTGGTGGTAGGCGCTGGTGGTGTTGGTAAAAGTGCATTGACCATACAATTGATCCAAAATCACTTTGTGGATGAATATGACCCCACTATAGAGGTATGTAAATTTTGCAATTTCTACTGCAATTTCCCTGTGGCTCAATTTGAATGCCTCTCCTGTGTCCACATTTTTGACTTGCCTGCCATCTTCTGCACTTTTGACTGTCTCACCTCAAAGCTCTTTTCTAGGCTTCTGCAATACTCACCTTTCTTGGTTCTGTTCCCATGGTTTTTTCTCCCTGTGTGTGCTCAATCCATTCTCATAAAGTGTTTCAGTCCTTTCTTTGAGATCGGTTGTTTTCTCTTGGCTGAAGCCCTGACCTCTGATCACTTCCCTGCTTACCTTCTCCTATTGTATGTTCCCTCCTCTGTGCTGAAGTCAGCTGTTTGATTAATTCTTTGCTGTTCTCCTCTTGGCACTTCTGCACCCAGGATTCATACCGGAAGCAAGTGGTAATTGATGGAGAGACATGTCTCTTGGATATCTTGGACACAGCTGGGCAGGAGGAGTACAGTGCCATGCGTGATCAGTACATGAGAACAGGAGAAGGCTTCCTTTGTGTTTTTGCAATCAACAACACAAAGTCTTTTGAAGATGTTCACCACTACAGGTAAGAGAACAGCTTAGTTTCCATGGTCCACCACTCTTTTTGTCAGTCTCCCCAGATAGTAGGGAAATTGGCTAGGGTACCAAGGTTGTGTCTCCTTTGGACTGTTTGTATAAAAACCAGGATAAAGGATTCTTTTCCAGAGCCAAGACTTGGTTTAAGGTTTATCCTAACAAACAAAACGCAAATTCATCAGCAAGCAAACTCCAAATTCACGTTGTGCGATTACAAAAAAGTTTGTGGTGCATGCAAACGTATGCAGACATTCATGTTTTACTTCATCTGTTGTAGTTATAGGACGGTGCTTCCTTTTCTATGGGGTCAGGTTAGATTGAATATTTTTTATCACATTGCATTTATGCCCCATCTTTTTTCCCTTTTGAGGAACCCAAGGCGGCTGACATAGCTTCATTTTATCCTCACAACAACCCTGTGAAGTAGGTGGTTAAGTCATCCAGTGAGTTCCATGGCTGAGTAGGGACTACAGCCTAGACCCCCCAGGTCTTTGGCCCAAGATTCTGAGAGCCACACTATACTGGCTCTCACAGTTGCATATATTGTTCCTCAACCTACTGTGTCTTTCCAATGGGCAAGCAAAGTTTTTTAAAAAACAAAAAACCTTGGAAATCAAGAATGAATGGTGAGATGGCTGAATAGCTAAGACATCTTCACTTCTTTTACTTCTGGCATTTTATTTAAAGCAGCTTTTCCCAACTGTTTTTCTCCATCCAAGAGAAAAAGTGTTGTTGGTATGAGATTTAAAGTGGGAAAAGGGCTAGGAGCCAAATCACCACTGACCTTCTTCCACTCAAGCTTTCATCTTTTAACAGCTTTTTGGTTCAAGCTTTTTGGGTGGAAAAAAGGATTCTTGGGTAGAATGAGAGCGATAACTAAGTTGTTTCTTGTTTACACTTCAGTTTATTTGTCCCCAGACATGGGTAGCTGAACAGTTAGCTTCAATAACACCAAGATGAACTGTTAATGTACATCATTAACACCAATCAAGCTTAAAAACACCACCACCGAGTTTGAGAACCATTCCTTTAGGCAGGTCTGTATGTACCTGATCTTTGGTCATGCCTTACCTGCTTTCTAATTCCAGGGAACAAATCAACCGTGTGAAGGACTCTGATGATGTTCCTATGGTGCTTGTTGGCAATAAGTGTGATCTGCCCTCTCGGACAGTGGATACTAAACAAGCTCAGGAGCTTGCCAGAAGCTATGGAATCCCTTTTGTTGAGACCTCTGCCAAAACCAGACAGGTGTGGTACAGTACAAGTGGGAGGAGGCGGATAGTCCCGAACCTGTTGCCTTTGTTGTCAGTTGGTAATGCTCCTCCTGGATTTTGGAGCAAACTCCAGCCGAATCTTACCCAATAACAATGGCTGTTTTGCTCAGTCTGAATTCCCAACTTGCACCTTCTCGTAATTGCCATGCATGCAATTATGTGGTTTTCCTTTACCTTGGCTGTGATGATATCCAACTAAGCAGTGGAATGCAGCAGTGCAGCCACTGTGCTTGTGTCAGAATGAGATTAGAAATGATATTAGTGCAGGGTTCCCGTTCTAATTTGGGAGCTACTGTGTCATTCATGGAGTCTCTCACTTCATGCTGTGTCAGTTTGGTGACAGGCAGTTACTGACATGGCAATATGCTGCAACCCATTCCCAGATACAAACAAACCACTCCGTCAGCAGAGGTAGAGATTAATAAATACTTTATCTACTGGCTTATTGTGAATTAGTGGTTCAGTAGGAAGACTTTGACTCCCCACTCTAGTTACTATAATATTGTTTCTGCCTATTGGCAGTAGCTTAAAAAAGATTCTAGCTGGAACTCAAATGTAGGAACCCTACTTTGTGCCACTTTGATTGGTCCTAACAAGGGTATTGCCGATCTGTGGATTTTGGAATCCTGCTCCATAAAATCCAAGTCCCTGTTATCTCATATTAGAACAGGTTAATTAATTGTTCTTTTTGTTTACATTTTTGCCATTCTTTGTGTCCCCTCCTCATTCATCTTAAAGGGCGTGGAGGATGCATTCTACACCCTGGTGCGAGAAATCCGAAAACACAAGGAAAAGATCAGCAATGGACGCAAGAAGAAATCTTCCAAAAGGAAGTGTATTATCCTCTGAAGGAGAGACACTGCTGCACTGCTGGGAGTGCAAAAAGCCCTTTGAGTTTGGGTATTTTCCCAAGCTGTGAGATAAATTCTGATGGCCATGCCCCCTCACCCTTTTTGGCTGCAAGGAAATGGTGGTAGAGTTCTTAAAATGTCAATTATTTTACTATTTTTAAAACTGGGACATTGTATCCAATATGAGGAAGATTTGTAACCACATCTGATGTTCCCGTTGCTTCTTGCCCCTTCATAAAAATAAGCAAAAACCGTATTTCCAGTCTTTAGGATTATAGTGGTCTCTTCTAAAAAGTGACCTGTTACATCCTGATCTATACAGGTTAGATGGAAGTGATAGCAAGAAGGCTGGGTCTCAGTCAGAACCTTGGGGGCCTTTCTCATTTTTGTAGGATTTACCCTACTTTGGTTCTCTGCAGGACTGAGAAGCAAGCCACATAGACTTGGCCCTACCATTTTTTTGCTAGCAGGAGATTAAGCATGACTTTGGATAAAGATCTGTTTGAAGGTGAAGGTGGTGATGAGAAATGCCAAGAGAAACCGTGGAAGGCCAAACCCTCTATAGCCGAATATTTCATCCCACTGTATTAAAATAGATGGTGCTCATTTCTTTTTCTTCTGGGTGGTTGAATTTCTTATAAGTTGTTTTCATTTGGCCATTTTGTATAACTTGACAGCAAAGACTTCTCACCTTGAAATGTTAGGGGAAAATACACTTCTCACCAAGTTTTATCCAAAATGAGATGCAATGTTGTCAAGGTGAGAAAGAGGTAGGTTTGGCTAACTTGTAAAATAGCTTCCTCCAGCTGAAGTCAATGGCATCTGATGCCATACAACACATAACTACTTGTCTTTGGAGATGGATGAATATTGGCACTAAGAGAAGCATCCTAATACAATTTGTCACTGTTTGCCTCTTCTACTAAATTGATGTTAATGTACTCAGTCTAGGGGTGATGGTACATTTTAGAAACAGAAAGGAGAAATACAATCCAAAGAACTCTTAATCTTCTCTCTCTATTAGCCTCTTGGATATTTTGCCTAGTCCTCATGGGAAGGGGATATAGGTACTTACAGACTGACAGGGAAATAACAAATATGAATTATTGCCTTGTTAATCTTAAAGACATTGGATTCTATCTTGTGTTTTTACCTTTCTCTACCCCAACCAAAAAAAGACAACTCAGAATCCTTTGTTTGATTTTTTTTCCCATGGTCCTGAGGAACTGTACAGTAAATGCCACCACTTGGAATAAACCTGTGAATAAGCTACCTGATCTATGAGAATAGACACCTTTTTCTAAAGCAGGTGCCAACTTCAGAACAACGGAGCAATCCTTCCTCTCAGGTTTGCAGCAGTTATCTGTCTTTCCTGCAACAGGCTGTTTTGGGAAGTTGTAGAATCTGTGAAGACTTTTAAGGAAATGATTTCTGATTATCAGTTCATAACTTAAGACTTGGAATCAGCAAATCCTTTCCTTAAAGTACACACGTTTATAAAAGGTTTGTTTTTTGTTCAGCTTAATTTCTAACTGTTGTAATTTTCTCCCCATATCCATCAGTTTGATTAAAGACCCCTGGAGTACTCAAACTATTTCTTCTGTTGAAGGTGCTTTACATGATTTGCATTTCTACAGGTATTTTAATTTTCTCTGTTCCCCTCTGACTTTAACATGCTCTCTTAGACAAAAGAACAAAGGGCCCCTTTCTACACTTTCCAAGAATCAAAATGGCCAGATGCACTAAAACACACTGGGAGCTTGGGGTGTATTCACACTCTGCTCCTTGATATTATGTGCTGCTCAATCTGTGCTCTGCTCCTAATGGTTTGATCTTTAAGATCCTTCTAGTTGAAGATGGTTAATAAAGGGAAATTGGACTGTTCTTGCTGCATAAGTAGTCTCTTCTTGGGTACCCCAGTTCCTGTTTCAGGAATGGTTTTGCATGTTTTGGCAAGTACAGCCATTCAAGCATGTTCTCTTTGAAGTGTCAGTCAGGTGGATTGGCCTTTGCCTAATTTGTTGGAAGAAATCAGTTCCACTTCTTTTAAAGAAACTTTAATGCTGAGGAACAGTCTCTTGTTTAGCTTTTTGTTCATTCTAAAAGGCTGCTCTGAGAGGGACCAGAAGGGAAATCCAAGAATGTATTGAAGGAGAAATGCAGGCGGCTAAAGCCAGCAAGTAAAGAAAGATTTCCTGACTTGTCTTGTTTAGTGAAGGGAACTGATAACCTAGTTGCTTGTTCTTGGATGATTAATGCAGAGTCAGGCAAGTGAGGCACTTGGATTGTACAGTGGGGTTGCAAGCCTAATATGATCAGGCAGGGATGTCACATAGCATTTGGTGTACCTTTCTGGTTATATAAAAAGAAATCTAAAGGTTGGCAACATGGGTCTCCAGTAAGAGTAAAACGTGGTGGCGATGTGATTAAGGAAGGGGCCATTTTGTATGTATCTGTTAGCATTTATGCATTTAAGCTTTTTATTCTAACAGAATTCTTGGGAGTTTCATAGAATTGTTGGACTAAAACAAGTCAAAATGGAAAATAGCTGGCCCCTTTAAGGATGTTTTTGAATAGGTGTATTTCAGGATGGATCTGCACTGGCTCTCTGCAAGGACAGAATTCTCAGGGATGGGCATTAATGGCAGTGCATGAGGGTGGTTGTGAGCACTAACTTGTCAGAAGGAAAGAGGTACTTAGTCTCTCCCATCTCTTTTCTCATGCTAGACTAATTTCTGTTATCAGTGTTTACTGGACAAAGGGAAGATGCTCTTAAGACAAACTAGAAGAGTTAAACACAACTTCCCACATTACTGTTCCCCAGCAAATCCATGTTTGGGAAAGCTGTTTGCCGTATAACTTGTAGTTCCACATTTACAGTAGCTGCAAAACCTGACAGTGGCAGAGTAAGGTAGGTTTCAGTCAGCTGATCCAGGAGGGTACAGATTGTTCCAGAATAGGATAGTAAGTGGATAGTGAAGTATGACAGATGGGTGCAGGCACAGAAGCAGTGTCCCTATGCTAGGCACTTAGTGTGGATTTGCTGTGTTTCATTTCCTTCCTTTTCACAGGGCATTCACATTAGTCATCCACTCACTGCCATCACCTATCTTTTATCAAATCACAGGAAGCTTGTTGTTCTTTAATGGCAGTGGGGAGTATGTAGTGCTATCTGTACAGGTGAAAATGATTTTAGTGCTACTAATCTGACTTTTAAGAGTGGGTATTTAGTATGGACAGTAATATATTGCAAAAGTGAACCTATTACAGCTTAGAATATATTCATTACAACCCCTTGTGGTGAGGACTATTTTATATTGCTTCTTTTAATCAGTCTTTTAGTGCTTAAAGGCTTCTGATTGTAATAAGTTATATAATTGCCATAAGGCAAAAACAGACACTAACTCTATACTGTCTTTAATTTTAAAAATATCCACAAAAGAATTTATGATTTAAACATCATAAAACAGTGTCAATATAAAATTGTTATATAACAATATTATAATAGTTATAATAAATTGTGCTTAACTTCAAATGGCTGTATCCACTGATATGGACATACAGTGCAATACTTGTAGCAGCACAGACAGTTTAATTGCTGTTTTTGTTTGCTGTTCCACTGTAAGGTACCATGATTGGTTAATGTGAGGAAGCACCCCAGGCACCCACGTATGTGGAGACCCTCTGAAGAACTCTAGCTACCCTAATAGTAGGTCAGTGTGGGGAGGAGGGAGTACCTGCTTGCCAGTAAAGAGCTGTCAGGCAAGGTTAGAAAGCAGGCTTGTTGCCTGCCCCGTGGGCTCATCACCCTCTACTCCAGGTTCACAAGTCACGCTTAGTAAGTGACAAATGCACAGGAGGCTGCTCTCCTGTGTCGGCTGTTTAATCTATAAAGTGTTACTGCATGCAAGGCTTACATCTGTAACCAGGTGGGTTACGATTTCTTTAAAAGAAAGGAGCCGAGATTCTCAGGAATGTAAATGCTGTTCTACATAAATGCTAGAAAATGTGCTTGTGTAGTCATCATGACTCTAGCTCTCTTTAAAATGCCTTGTGATCACAGTATTACATTTCAAATGGAACTGTTCTAGAAATTGCTACTAGTGTTGGTAGTCGCACAACTACTCTGTGTTTTTATACTCATGTAGAAAGAAGCTTCTGCTTTCTTTGAACATGCCTTTTTATTATATATTCAAGAGGCTTTTCATAAAAATACACTGAAATGTATCAGGAAAATGTAATGAAATTAAACAAACGCCAGAATATTAGGCAACCCCCTCCCCACCCCTCTCTGCAGTCAGCAACAGACATTGAATGCCACATAGTAGATGAGATGAACAGGTTGCCTGAAGGTGCCACAGCCTTCTTAAAATTATTTGTGGATGTTGCCTGCGGCTTAGAATTGAGCTTGAAGTGATTTAGTGTATCCTCACAGGTTATTTTTACTTTCTGTAAACTTAATTTCTTCTGTGCAAACTGGAAAAACAGACAGGTTACACAGGTGGTGGCTGTAGGTACTGTAACTGCAAAAAAGGCCAAGTGCTTCCTTTTAGTTCAGTCCAGACAGGATGCTGGCTGTAGGGCAGGATGAAGCAGAACATTGCCAGCAGTGAAACACAAGCAAGCAGGAGCCCAGAAATTAGCAGTTGCTGCAGAACTTGTATTAGCAGGCAGCCTAAAGGGACACCAAAGAACCTGTGTGGAAAGATGACATTCCATCCTTACGACTGCAGGATAATTTTGTGTCACAGAACCACAACAGCTACAGCTTTTGAACAAGAGGGAGTAAAGGAAAGATGGCAAACACTAAAGGAAGAAATAATGTGAAAGAGTGAAGAAGTCAGTAGATATAGGCTGAATTTCAGATAAGAGAGTAGAGACTTTTAATGGGGTGCAATGGGTTTTCCAGAGAAAGGAAGCTGCTTTTAAATTAATTATTGGTAGGACTGTGTTTCGTGTTTGTTTTATGGTGCTGCTTTTTCTTGGTTTTGGGAAGGTGCATAGCTAGAAACTGTATTGACCCTTTTAAAACACATTAATTACAAAGAGACTAGACCCACTTGGGTCCATCTTTAGGGGAAAAAATGTAACATGTAAGTATGTAGAGTCTTCACAATTGTGAAGCATGTTGTATTCCAGTGTCTGAACTTGGAGTTACAGTACTATTTCATTAACAGTGTATGGGAAAGTTTACCGTCCCAACTCTCAAAGAGCTATGGGGAAGCCAGCAAACCTCTCACAGATGTGGGGGAAAGTTCTTTAAAAACTCCCACTTGACAATGCCTTAAATTTTGGGCTTGACCTTTAAATGCTTAAATTATGTGCTGTGAAGGAGCACAAAGAAGAATTGTAGAATATCCTGCAGCACTGTGCAAATGCAATACACCAATTCCCACCCACTCAGATAGTTCAACCTCAAAGCTTGAACTAAGGGAAGTTGGGTCTGCCCTTCACCAAGGTCCACCTACAACCAGTTTCCAAAGAATGGATCCATTGAAGTGCATTTATTATTTCTATAGTGGCAGACAAGTGTAGAGTGGCTGCCTGTGCAAAGCCTTCAGGTATCCTCCAGAGGGGCCCAAGTGTCAAATGCTGCTACCCCCTCTCCCAACTAAGTAGATAGTGAGTTATGCTGAGACTAGAATACTTGGGCATTCAAGCCCTAACCCAGTGGCTGACTTTCCCCTGGACACTGTCCCTACAATTTAAAGAAGGTAGTCTAATTGAAAGTCTTGGCATCCAATCTAATACATGATTTGGGGGACTTGCAAACATCCCGTTATGCCACTCCTTTTTCTTGTTATGGCTGGCACTACTTCTTGGCCCTATAGAAACTGGCATTTACCTTTGGAGAAAAATACCAGTCAAGACTGCCCTTTTAGCATGGCAGTCTTGACTGGTATTTTTCTCCAAAGTGCTGAGACTATCCCAACTTAAAAGAACACCATTCTCTCCTACCCTCCTAACTGATGCTAGGATCACCAGGAATACGTTTGAGGGTAGGGTATCTATGGGGAACAGTTCTGAATGGCTCAGAGGGAGCATCAATGAGGGCCCTGTGCACAAAGATGAAGTTCTAAGTGGGACCTCTGGACCACCAGTGGCAGCAATAGAGAGGTTTCTCCAAAGATGCTTTTGCTTTGAAGGCAGTCCAACTAATACTAGTGTGTGACCCAACAGTTCTACTTTAAACTGTTACTCATCATAAGATTTTGGCTGAGAGATCTTGGTCCAAGCCTGCTTAGAGGAAACTGAGCATCTCCAGTAGCCCACCATAGTTAGGGGATATTTGATACCCTCTACCACCTTTAGAAGGTAAACCAAGGCATCTAGTAGCATGCTGCTCACTAAAGTCTTCCTTGATCCTAACATGGTCTTGAACATCCTGACAATGCAACCATCAACAGCCGTCGCTGTTCAACTTCCAATTTGCTAAACTGGACCTGGACTTTACAGATCCAGGAAAGCTTTAGAGCTCTTGAAGATCTGAAAAAAATCACAGTATCCATGGAAAATATGGTGCAATCAGCACCACTTATAAATTCAGCAGCCTCACCTTGCAGACTTTTGAAAAGCAAGGAAAAGGGAGGAAACATATACAAAACTAGAGATACACTACTGATTGAGTCATGGAGGACTTCACACAGTGGACAAATTGAAGGAGTTCATCTTGCAAGCATTTATCAACACTGTTGCTAACTGGATTTTGTGTCACAGTGTTGTGGACAGGTTCTAGGAATGTTGTGATGTTAATGGAGGACACTTTGAGCACCTAAGAGACTAAACATGACCCGATCAGTACTGTATACCTACTTTTGGACTACCCCGTATCCTAGCTCCAAAGGCGGAGCACGAGCATGACTTCCTCCTCCACTTGCAGATTTTGATACCATCAAGATGTCTATGGGTTTTGGTGTTGGTATTGCTACTGAATAGACCTAACACTGGAGTCTCCCATCTGCTGGAAACCCATTGAAAAATATAATGAAGGCACCATTGCCTTTGCTGAATCACTTGCCTATGTGTTCAATGTACTATGCTGTGACTGAGGTTCTCCACCCATGTTACAAGTAGGCTTGTCTCCTCCCTTGACTGAGAACCACCATTATAACTTCTGTATATTTTTTGCTGCTCTGTTGTCTGCACAGCCAAGAATGCTGTATCTACTCTTCATACAAAAGTCTGAAGAGTAAGGTGAATTGCTCTGTTGTTCCAGCCAACTGATTGATTAGATTACCTGTGTTATCTGCTTGTGACAGTGGGCTCTCCAGGCTAGTATCCCTTGGAATTTGAACCTGAGTCAATTCCTTTAAGGCATTCCCCTGGATTGTTGCCAGGGCTCAAGCCACTAAGTGAAGGCCTAGCTCACCCCTGGTGATGTATGGGCAGGCTGGACCTGGCAGGGAAGCAGATCCCACTTCAGTGGAAACTGGCCCAAGGCACTGAGTCAGCTGAGCCTATCATGCACCCTTGGAGACTTGCTGGAACTACTTCTGGTGGCCTCATTCAGCTCAGGATGTCCTGGATGCAGGACTGCACTTGATTGTCCTTTGCTCTGAAGGAACACTCTGCACTACTGTACCTATTAGCACCCCTTGATGCTTTTAACTTCCAAGAGGGGATTATCCAAAGTAGGATATACTGAAGTGGCCTGTGCATGAAGATGTGGAGATAAACTTCCCTGCAATCTACTGAGGTCAGCATATCCCCTAGAAGAATTGTCTCTCTTGTTCCTCTGGTTCTCCATCCTGCTCTTCCTTCCCCTGGTGAACTGGTTTAAGAACTTAGGCCCCAGGATAGTTCTCCATGCCCTATTCCATCTGGAGAGACTCTGAAGAATATGCAAAAAACACCTGAAAAGTGTTCCATGCATGGCAGCTATCCCATGCCTCCTACATCACACAGATGTTCTGTACCTGCATGAATCTTGAACCCGATTCTGAGAAAATGGAGAAGGTGAAAATAGTTCTTGGGGGTAGTATGAAAACTGAGAGCACAGTCCAGGTCCTTATCAAAATTGTGCCTGTGACAACTGTAGCAGTTTCTCACCTGTGAAATAGGATTTCAAATAAATTGTCATGCTGCTTCTTTCCAATGGCTGGGATTAATTCACTGAACACTGGGGCTAAAGCTTGTTGTCGGAAGACTCCTTCAGAGCTTCTGAAAAAAATAAAGCGTATCACAGCCTTTCATATGCTGGAATACTTCACTTGAGACATTGATGTAGCTGTCATTTCTTGTACCAACTTTAAAAGTAGATGCCACAAATGAAACATCTAATTCAGGACATGGTGTTCCATTTCCCTTCAGCCCCTATGAATTTGGTATTGCACTAACTGGACTCTAGATGGGACTATATTTGGAAACATTAGGTGGCAAAGTGGCCTTTCTCCAGGAAAATTGACCTGGCCCCAAGCCAGTATATCCCAGCTTTAAGAAATGACGCAGAGGAAGAAACCCACATTCCAAGAGTATATGTTATGAGCAATGTGTAAGTCCATACTATGTAGCAACATAAGAAAAGCTGTGCTGGATCAAAAAGAAAGGGTCTGTCTAGTCTAGCATTCTATTCACACAATGGTCAACCAGATGAAAAGGGGAAATAGAAATACTTTACTCACTTGTGAGTTTCTGTCCTTCGTTAGTAAAGGAGGTTAACTAGCTCTGTTCATCTCCAGGGCAGGGCAGGCAGAGCTTGACTAAACTTCCTGGATGAAATGGGCCTCTCTGAATGTCTGTCGTGTGAATTTCAACACATTGGATCAAGAAGATGGTCCTTTTGCTGCTGTTGCACTGACAGGAAAAATATACAAGACAGGCAACTGCAGACTGCACCCAGTGGCAGGCCTAATCGGCCTCCTTCACTGGTGGAAAACAAATTCACTGATGAATGAGAATTTCCTTTTCCCCATGCATGAGGAGACTAGCTAGCTGTGGAACCCCAGGTGGGCCAACAGAACCATTTAGCTAGCCTTACGCTTAAGGCAGAAAAACATTCTGCAGAACATGCCTGCTAAAGGCACCCTCTGCAGAGGCCAAACTATCTTGCGATGTAAATGTATAAAGAGAGGATCAGGTGACGATCCTACAAATATCATCTAAGACGGCCCTTCCCCAAAAAGCTGCTGAAGCTGCCATGTTTGGTTTTAAAAAATGCACTAGGATGCTCTCAGGAACTGTTAAGCCGCTGGAAGCACAAGCCAGCGCAATTCATTTGTGCAGCCATCTAGCCAAGGAGGTCATGGACACCTTCAGGAAATTTAGTCAAGTCTGCCTTTCTGGCCTCAGAGGTAGCTGGCTTCCTGAATCAGTGGGAGAAACCTACAAATACTGCCACAGCACCTTCCTACTCATGTTCCCTAGTACCTGATGTGGGCAGACATATTTCTTCAAATACTAGAAGTACCATATAGCCATGAAGGCTAGCAAGTTTGTCCTCCATAAATTTGTCCAATCCTTTTATATTTATCCAGACTGATGCCCCTCGGTACATCTTGTGGGAAAGAATTCCAAAATCTTTTGTCTTGAATTTCCCACCAATCAGCTTCATGTGCTGATCCTGGGTTCTAGCAGAGACAAAGAGAAATGCCTCCCTCTTCATGTCAGGCCTAATTCTGCATTCCTCTATCATGTCTTCTCTCCCTCACTTTTAACTCCTAAGCTCAACAGTCTTGTATGTTGTAGCTTTTCCTCTCAGTTGTGTTGTTCCAGCAGCATGATCATGTTAGTTGCACTTTTCTACACTTTTTCCAACTCTGAAACTTTTTTTAGTTGTGGTGACCAGAACTGCACAGTTAATATGTGATTATACATATAAAAGTACTGTGGTGTCTCTATTTTCAATTCTTTTCCTGATTAGGCCTAACACAGATTTGGATGTTTCACAGCAGCCATACAAAGGGTTCACATTTTCAATGAGATCTCCCCTACTGAGAACTCCAAGTGTTCTTTTTTAGGCAGTCATGCCTAGCTCAGATCTCATTAGCTGATACTTGAAGCTGAGAGTTTTTGCCCCAGAGTGCATCACTTCACACTTGTTTATAATGAACAGTAATTGCCATTTTGATGCCCATTCTCCTTGTTTAGGGAGATCCTTTTGGAGTTCTTCACAATCCCTTGTTTTAAGCACCCTAAATAGTTTGGTATCATCAGCATACTTGGCCATCAGAATACTATCCACTCCTAATTCCAGATCATTTATAACAAGTTGAAGGGCAGTGGTTCCAACATAGATTCCTATGGGATCCACCTGTGTGCTTACTAGATCACTCAGCCCATTTGTTAATCAATGCTTTCAAACAGCTCTAAAAGATTATTTTGACAGGATTTAGCTTTGTTGAAACCATGTTGATCTACGTATAGGGCTTGTCCTATTTGCTCACTAATTTCATCTTTAATAATGCCTTCAAATAAACTTAGTCAGAACAGGTGTTAAACTAAGTGGATTGTAAAAATCCACATGGTTTCCTTTTTAAAACCTGGTATTACTGGGACCATTGTTTCATCCTTGGGACATGTTACATTTTTTGTTAGAAGTTCAGTAATTTCACATTTGAGAATTCTAGGGTGGATACTATCTGGTACAACAGATTGTATAGTTGAGAACATCTTTTGTCAGCTCTATTAGCCTCAGTTCCATAGATTTTCTTCCTGAAAACATCTGTTCAGGCACAGGTATCTCTTCTACATCTTCTTCACTGTCTCGTCATCCTCCGCTAGTTCTTTTTCAACTCCATTGTCATCTAACAAATCAACTGCCCCTCTAGCTGGTTTCCTGCTTCTGATATATTTAAATAAGTATTTATTTTTGGTCTTGATGTTAGCAATAAGCTCTTCAAAATGCTTCTTTACAACTCTTATTCTATTTGTATTCCCCTTGTGCAACTTTGCCTTCCTCATGTGGGTAAGACTTCCATGTTCTGAAGAAAGTCTTTAATAGCTTTCTTGATATTACTTGGTACCTCATACTGGTGAGCTCTTGGAATTGGTGATACCTTTATTAACTTGTGGCTTACAGTCTAGTTGAACTTCTACTATTGTGGTTTTGAGTAACCTCCAAGCATATTGAAAAAATTTCTTTACTCCTCAACTCCTTGTTTAAACTTCCTTTTTACCATTTCCTTCATGTGAAAGTCATTTCTGTTTTTGAAGTCAGATGTGCATCTTCTGCTATGGCTTTTAGGTCTCTTTGGCTATTATGTTTCACCATAAGCTTGTGGCTTATTTCTTCCCCATCTCCATGTGAAAATGCTTTCATCTTCATGTCCTAGGGATGACTCAGCCAGAGCCAGATGCTTGTTCTGAGAACTAGCAACTCAGTACACCGAGCACACACCTACAACTTCTGTCTAGCTGACAAACAGTCATAAATGGGACACTTAGTGCCATATACTTGATAGCCCCTTCACTCAACCTTCAGAACTTTTTAATGTTATTACTGGGCTTGTTTATCTGGAAAACTAAATTATTTACTGGGAAAAGTGGGGAAGAGTTTATTGTTCTGATCTCTTCATTTCTTCCTAAACTTGCACTGGTATTTAACCTGCTTTTGTGCTGATGTTTTGTCACCTGGGCTGAGATGCTTTTTCACTGGGGCTCCTTGTGCTTGGAAAGGCTGGCTCATTTGCCAGCCTGTTTCATTATATAGCTATAGGTAGCTTGCCCCAGTTGCTGGTCCAGCCAGTAAAACTGTAGGACCTCCTTTAAAAGTATTTTATTTATTTATTTAGAACATTTCTATGCTGCCCCATTCGCAAAAAGCCTCGGGGCAGCTTACAAAAAAAATAAACAAACATCATACAAATAACCTTAAAATCCAGAGACATCTTGGCATAAATATAAAAACCAATAAATAAATACAATCCACAATTAACCATTATAACAACTTTTAAATTAAAAGGTCTTGGCCTGGCGCCAAAAAACAAATAACAACGGCGCCAGGCGGCCCTCTCTGCGGAGCACATTCCAGAGGTGGGGCACCACCGCCAAGTAGGAAGGAATTGCTCAACAGCTAGTTTGTACTAGCTTCCAGTGGGTAGAAATCTAGGTCAGGGTCATTTTAAGGGGACAATACACAAAGGATACATGATTAAGGATGTGATTTGAACATCCCTGGAAAGGAAGGAGCTAAGTTGCTGAGCAGGCTGAATGTGCACTTACACATGTGCCTTGCCTTTTCACTGCCATGTGCCCTTTCACTGCCTTTTAATGTATAAAATTAAAAGTGAACTCTCAAACTTGGAAGGAGTGTATTTCTGAACTTTATGCACTTTAGTTTATGCCCGCAATACCAAAAAACTGATCCTACACTGAGCCCAAATTAAAGTTAGCTTACACTTATACAGGTGGCACAGGATTGGAAACTGTGGTGAGGGTTGGCCCATAAGATCACTTCTCATCAGACACGACTGAACAGCTGAACACCACCACTTTTTATATGTTCTTCTACTAGCTAGACCTACACCATGGCCTTTAATATAGAGCTATGTAATATTTTTACTAATATTTTTACTCCACTTGAGGTTAGTTTAAGTATAGGATCAGGGTTTTCTGGAACCACTCAGGCATCTTACAGTAGGACCACAAAAACTCTGAGTTCCTTCTGGATTTTCCTTGGGAGTTAAATTTGCAATTGTAAATTTGTCAAGGATTACCCTTCCAGGATTTAGCTTCCTTTGCCAAAGTGAAAAGGATAGTTTATCTGAATGAGACTGTACACTCATGTTCTGCTGGTGGAAAGTACTGTTACACAGACTGGCATGATACAGCATTTTTACAAGTCATTGGAACACCAAGGACTGCCACCTGAGGTAGCAGCTCATCTTGCCTAACATACATACTTACAATTTTGCTGAGCTAAATGTTGGGATTTCTTGGCAAGTAGAACACACCCCCTTTGAGAAACAAAATGAAGATGCTTTTAATGCAAATGAAATCTATATCCACAAGATGCTTTAAAGCTTTAACATAGAAACAGAAACTTAGAAACAGAGCAAGTCAGAAGGGTCCTCCCGGGCCATCTTGTCTGACCTCCGGCACCAGCCAGCTCCGCTCACGACATGCCCACCATGTGCAAGTCCAGCCTATCCTTGAACACCCGCACCGATGGAGCCTCAACGACCTCTTGTGGAAGCCCACTCCACACCCTCGGGGTCCTAACT